TACTTTAGTGCTCCATGCTGCAATCCAACAAAGTTGTTGCAAGGCAGTTACAACTAGGTGTTGCAATCATTTTTATATGATGTAAAGGTGGTTACAACCATCATCAAAGTTGCAGTTGGTATCTTTAAAAAAATAATAATAAAGCCTAGATAAAAATATATTGTTATTAACAAATTAAATTACATGAATAAATATAGTAATAGTGATTCTGAATATACTTAATAATAAGATTTGCACCAACATAGCGTCAGCTGGCTTACTGGATATTTGCTTGCAATATCTTCATACAAACAATACAAACATAATGGTCTTAAAATTAAATTTCTAGTCATAAATTTCTAATTTTTAGTAAAAACGTACTTTGAACAAATCAACAGATTATTACAGATTATTTACAGATTATGAAAGAGCAAGTTTAATAGTATTTCTTTCAATTATTATAAACTGATTTATTTTTAGAAAAAGTAACATAGATATAACAAGAAGTATCTTGTGAATTCGTTTGTAACATATAATGAATTGATCAGTAGACTATTCTGGAATCGAATCCCAATATGGAAATATCCCTGACTGTAATACGAATTTAATAAAGTTGTACAAAATATACAGTCAACCCTTGTTTCAACGAATCAACGAATTTTATATATAAATCGTGTTACAACGAATTTTTGGTAGGGATCTTGGAATATAAGAACTAATCGCGTTTCAACGAATTCACGTGGCAATAGATCAACATGTAAATAAAATTAAATCATACAATAAAAAATTAAATCATGCAATATTTAAATTATAAAAAATTAAACATGCGATTTTTTAAAAAACATGTATTCTAATAAATCATGTAATTATTTTCATGATTTTAACTTAAAGATGTAATAAAATGTACGTTTACTTTTGCAATTTTATGTATATAGGAACTTATGATTTATCTTTATTTAAGATGTTATAATAAAACTATAAAACTTATGATTATTTAAAAAAAACATGTACAATTATGATACTGAAAGGTGTGAAAGTTTAATTTTAAGTTCTTAACAATTATCATCCAAAAAATGAGTTTATATTACTGCTGACCAAAAAAGAGAAATTTGTTGATCGAAAAAAAAATAAACCTGAACCAAAAAATATAGATTTAGCAAAACAATTCAATATTAGTGCAGGTCAGGTTAGTGATATATTGAGAGAACCTGAAAGATGGATTAATATAGATCCAAATCCATATCAAGCAAAACTAAAACGATCACATACTTCACCATTTGCTGACGTTGAAGAAACATTGGCTTTATGTATTGAAAAGGCTCTTGAATGTAATTTAACAATCACAGATTTGATTATTCAAAAAAAGGCTACAAATTTTGCTGAACTATTAAACAAAGAATTTAAAGGATCTTCTGGTTGGCTATACAATTTTAAACAAAGATATTCAATCCACAAATATGTTAAACATGGTGAATCACAAGTGCTCCAATTGAAGAGCTTCCAGAAATGATAAGTACTTTGCAAAATCTTCTTAAAGAATATCAATTAGAAGATATTTTTATTTGTGATGAAACTGGTCTTTTCTGGAAAATGAAACCATCTTGTGGATTATCTACAGGCCCTATGTCAGGCACAAAACAAAGTAAAGATAGAGTAACTGTATTGTTAACATGCAATGCTACTGGAACAGATAAATTAATTCCTTTATTTATTCACAAATATCAAAACCCAAGAGCATTAAAAGGAATTAACAAAAATTCTTTACCAGTTGATTATTACTGGAACAGCAAAGCATGGATGCAAATGTCAATCTGGAATGATTATTTAAAAAGATTAAATAAAAAAATGAGTATTGCAAATAGAAAAATATTATTACTTGTTGACAATGCACCTACACACAATTTAATGGAAATTTACAATTAACAAATATAAAAATTCATCACCTACTACCTAATGTAACTGCGCACCTGCAACCATGCAATGCAGGAATAATTCATGGTTCCAAGTTTTGTTAATTCAAGTGTTTAAGCCTATAAATATTTTATTTTATATTAATAATAAATATTTATGCATTACAGGCACATTACTGGAAACTATTACTTGAAAAGAAAAGAAAGGATTATGATTTACAGCTTTCTAATTCTATTTTTACCTCAAGCTAAGTCTTCGTGAGCCAAATCCCTTAATTCATTATCACTGTAATGGTCTTTTAAATACAAAAAAACCTTACCAATAAATTCTTGTTGCTTCGTAGTTAGATAATAAGAACAGGGAAATTCACTTTTTTCCTCATGCAATTTCAAGAAATTTCTGTAAATCTTGATGATGGTGTTGATATAAAAAAGGCAATAAAATATGTTGCAAGAGCTTGGGGTAATGTAACGCCAACCACCATTATCAATTGTTGGAAAAAGACAGGGATTCTTCCTCTGGAAAATGAGCCATCTAATAATGAAATTGAAAATTCAACTCAAATAATTGAAGAGTTATCAAATCAAGAAAGAGTTGTTATTGAAAATTTAATCAATGAATTATCATTTACCTCTCCATTAGAAGCAGAAGAATATATTACAATTGGTAATGAAGGAATAAGTAATAATAGTGAAGTGATAACTGATGAAGAAATTATTGCTTTTTTCAAGCCAATTGAAGAGGAAGTTGTCATTAAAAGTAATATGGCGCCTAATGTTTCAATAAAAGATGCTGTAAATGCCCTTGAGACTGTTTACAATTTTCTAGAACAAGGTGATATAGAAATAGACTATATTGAATCTAAATCTTTTAAATCATTAAAAAGAAAAATAACATTATATTACTGAATCATGATGAGCTAAGATTTTTATTGAAGAAAGATATTTATATATATAGTAAATTTATTATAATTTGAACTATGCATCTGGAAAATATAAAAAAAAATTGCACATGTCAATCATAAGTTTAATAATAAAAAAGTGTAAAACTTATGTCAGTGCCATAAGATTTACATGATATTATGTTGGTGTCATAAGATTGATTTATGCTAAATTAATTTCCTGATGATTAGTATATCAGGACAACATGCTGTATATTAATTCAAAAAATGGCATCCTTGATATTGCTTAATTCTAAGTGTGCATGCATAATAGCTATAAATGTATATATGTATGTAATTTAAAACTCAACAAGTTTGCATTATTTTAATTTATATATGAAAAGATCTGCATAAAATTTAGCCAATCATTTTTTGTTTTGATTCTTTTTTAGAATATTTTAGAATTACACAATGAATCTAGAATGTTGATCATTACAGTATTTGGAAATTCCAAATTTGGAAAAAATCCTGACTGTATAATGATCAATATTATTCTGTATATATATACAGATCCTTTTGTTGATATCAGAACATTTTTATGGTAAAAATGAGAGGCTCTCATTAACTCATAAAAAATACTGCAGTTATATTCAAAGAAGATGAGGATATGGATGGGGAATATCAAGGGAGTTAGAATGCTGCTCAAAGAGATAAATATTGGTACAATTATATTTAATCAAGTGAAAAAACCATAGTAGGAAACTATTATCATTTTTCATTGTGATTATTCTTCTTTAATCTAAAAAAATTGGATTAGTCAGAACTTATGAAAAAAGAGCACCTACATGTCTAAGCTTTAGATAATTAACAACCTTGGTATACCACCCTCTATAAGATGTAATTGGATGTGTCAAAGGTGCATTCCAAGGAGTTAAGAGTAAGTTACACTTGGGGATTTTCACCAAAAATTCCTGGCAAAAACTCCACAATATTTTATTGTTGCTATTACATATCATCTCTTTATAAAGAAAAAAATAAAGGTAAAAATAATGTGTAATCTTGCTATTTTTATTTAAGAATGAGTTTATCATTAGGTGAATGCAAGTATAACAATACCTGCACCTGCCAGAGATTTAGAGCAAAACTTGATGATGAATTAACCTGTCTTTATTGTTCTCATGATGGCTATCATGAAGAGACTAGCAATGCTGTCACAAGTATAAATTTATTTCAAGTTCAACACATTTATTTTTAAGTGTATTATAATTTATATATTAATTAATTATTAAATTGTCAATGCTGTAATTTTATTAGATTTTTTTTAACCCAAGTAGTCAAAATGAGGAGGAAGCTTTAAATAGTATTCCAAGTATTTAGATCTTAGTTACATTTAATAATATATATTTAAATTTGTTAAACAACTCAGGTTCTTATTGGTTTTTCCAAAAATAAGTGTAAATCTAATAAATCTAATGCTAAGTAATTTATTAATTGTCAAGTCTGGAAAAAAATGTTCGTTATGCATAAGAAAATAAATAAAATGCTAACCAAAATTGATTAATATTGACACAGATAAGTTTAATGTTTATTTAAGATGTTTGCATCAGATTGTATAATTGCAGTTCTTCTGGATCAGTGATGGTTGCGATAGTCCTTATAAGAAATGCCTTCTTATAAAAGAAGGAAATAATGAACACCTTCTGACAAAGGAAGGAAATAGTTGCTATTATTATTATCTTTTTTTTTGCCTTCAGTTTTATTATTATTAATTGTGATTTTAATTTTAATTGGAAAATAATTATTTTTTTCAGTCATCAGAAATATTGATTTCATCATAATGAACAAGTCAATTTATATGTGTACCCTCACAAGAAAAATTTTTCAAGTAATTAATGAATCTTTTAGACTTTAGACAATTACATCTTTATGTGGAAAATGGTATTATTGTTATAAATCTGAATCTGGTTGTTATAAATCTTGCTAATGCCATTAGTAAATCTCTTTAAAAATAAACCAGACTTTGATTTTATTTATTATTGTTATAATTAATCTGGAACTTTCAATGCTTAAGAAATTTATCAACGGATTGAATTACAGAGGAGTGGGGGGGACTTGTGATTGACAGAAAAAATTTAAAAGTTTAAATTTAAAAAATGCCATTAAAATTAAATTGATTTTTAAATTTTTAATATTAAAATTAATTAATTAGATATGTAATATACAATTTTCTTCAATCATCTCCACCATCAAAATCTCCACCACCATCATCTCCGCCACCAAAGAATGGTACAGCTAAATGAAACCACCTAAAATAATAGATTAATGATCATTAATTAATTAGCAAAAACATATATATATATATATAATAATAATATAATTGTGTGCTAACCCTCCACCATGTTCAGAATGACGAGAGAAATAATCGAAATCAATTGAAATTGCTGCTGCTAATATAACAGCTCTCTCATCCAATGACAAAGGTCGTACACTACCTTCTACTGAATCCATTCTAATTACATATTGTCCTGTATCAGTAAATATCTATATATACATAAAAAGAATTAATTAAATGTGTTAATAATATAATTATTATTTTGTAAGAATATATATGGTTTTATTTTACCTCTCTTGCAAAACCACTAAAATTACGATTAACACTACCAAGTAATCCACCACTTTCATCTTCCAAATTAAAATCCCACGCCCAAAATCCTGCATCAATTCTTGCAAATTGTCTTTTACTATCAAATTAATAATAAAAGATTGGAATGAATAATTAAATTTAAATCAATAAACCACAAAAAACTACTTACTTTACAAATAAATTATATATTCTTCTCCATAAATGCCATTGTTGTTGCACTTCACCAATCAATTCATTATCTTGTCCTTCATAAATAAATATATGAGAATTAATCCAAGCAAAAGGTCGATGAACCTTTAACACTATTTCAGCCTGTTCATTCAATATTAGTGCACTAAATCTCCTATGTGTTCGAAATACTTGTCTCAAAATTGTTGAAATGAATGATGATTCCTCCTCTGCTATAAATCCTACACTGTTACCAAATGGATCTAGTATTACATATTTATTTGCTTGTTCAAATCCCTTTTTTATCACATAATAATTTATATTTTTATCAGAATTTGCTAATTAATTAACCAACCAATTATTTTATTTCTAAAGTTTTTGTTTTCAATTATTTTACATATTATACATACCATAAAAACATTTAACATTTCTATTTGTCTACCAACAACTAAAGCAGACTTTGCCAAAATTTTTGATGCAGGTTTTTCATCAGTTAATACATTGGACACATTTGATGGTAAATTAACATCAATAGAAGCTGCTTTTGATGGAAGGTTTTCTCCGCCATCATCATTATAGTTTTTATAATCTTGCCTTTTAGTTTTAAAGATGTCTATTGGTCTATTTTGTTGTATTCTGCTTGTACCAACAACACCTACTATACAAGATATAATATTTTTTAAAGGTATAATTTGATAACTTGGAGAAAAAAGAAAGATAAACCTACAATTTTCTCCAAAAAATTTTATAATACTAACCTACCTCTTGGAGTTCTTTTTAATGTTGAATAATAATAATTTTGTATATGTGTTTTTGAAATATAATATGCAATTGAATGTTGCTGATTATGATTATAATTAATTAAAGAATTTATTGATTTTTTTGAACAGAATTGTAAAGTTCTAATTGATTTGAATAACATTTTTTCTGAGAATTATAGTAATATGGGACATCAAAAACCAACATTATATCACCTAAAGATTTCAGGGATCAATTTAGTATAATTGCGATAACATTTTTTTAATTTTTATTTAATAATTATATCCCAACTAAATAAGTCAATTCAGGGCGGGGTTTTGGAATTGGACCTTGTTATAAATTATTTTTGTACCCATGCCAAAGCAAATTAATTCGTTATTATTATTTATTATTATGGAATGTATAGCAGTATCACCTTTGTATTAATTGGCTTTTAATTATATAGTAATAGCTGTAATAGCTAAAATACAACAAAAAAATGTTTGATTAATACAAGGAAGGAAGGAATGGGATAGTTTGTATTTATAAGATAAAGTATATTTGCAAGAATCCTCGCTAAAAAAATTTTCATCAAGAAGTTTATGTAAGCTTATTTTTGCTCGTATTGAATATAAAGTTTTTAGTTTCTCTTTAGTTTTTTTTGAAGCTGGTAAGTTTTCAGTAGATCTTTTTAATGAAGACACGTTTAAGGATAGGTAATAGTTGATGATGATAAATTTTTACTTCTTTATACAAAGAATTTAATAATGATAATTTTAATGATTGCTAAAAATACGTTATAATCGCTATAATCACAATGACAATGAAGATAACAATGATAATAATAACAACAAAGTTAATAGTAACAAAGATATAGCAATAAAGATAACAACAATGAACAAGGAAGGCAAAAACAACAACGCAAGCTTGAACTTTTAACAATAAAAAAATATCAGTTGGTACCATTTCAGGAATTTCACATTTGTGTGGGCGATTGCTGAGCGAGAAGGAATTATAAAAGCTCATGAAATACCTAGTTATATATATGTAATTTTTGATATTAACGAACAACAATATTAATAATGAATGAAATTTACGAGAACGCAACGTGAGCTTTTGCTTTTTTACGTATTACACTATCATGCATGCCATGCTACGGGAGATTAAAATTTTATTTATTTTAGTATCGCGTTGACATTAAAGTTAAGTTGGTTTGTATTGCGTATTCGTCGCAAAGAGCAAAAAAATCACATCACTTTGGTCAAGGCAATAATAAATAGGAAGGCCCGAATTTTTTCTCTAAATTTTCATAGATATTCTTTGGAGCATCAAAGTTAGCACTGGATGTGAAGAATCCTAGTGTCCATGATAAATGATGCTGTTTTTAATAAAATAGACTATTTCGTGGCCAAATGATTCATTGATCGAGTAGTCTAATAAATTACTACATAAACATATAAATAGACCCGCTACCCCACTTGTAGACCAAAAATTGTGCATCATACTTGCTTTTCACGTTGCATTCGAACTCGGGGGTTAAAGTACATGGTGCCAAAATGGCATTCTATGGTTTGGTTTTACACGTTGCATTCAAATGTGAGGGTTAAGGAATACTCCACATTATTATCCATTTGTTGAGAAAAAATTTGTTTGTTTGTTTTTTATTTATTTTAATGATTAAAGAGTCATTACGCGAACAAAGAATTTAATAAATTTAATAAAAGTCTAATTCCATTTGAGATATAGATGGCTGAAAAGATGGAAATTCCCTTGATGGATGTGTATAATTGATGAAAAGAAACATGTATATCATCATTTATATAATGGTAATGATAACATTAAGAAGTTTATGAACAGATAATAAATATTTATTTAATTATATCTTGTAATAAATTTAATCTTTTCCATCGGGATACTCGATAACTATATTATTGTTGTATTATTATAATTATGAGCTGTACCCTTAGATGCAAGCTTCCGTCCTCTCTCAATTTGTTCCATCCTTCCTGTCCTTCCACCATCATCTAATAAAAAACATATACATAGAAAAAAAATAAAGAATTAGTAACGAAAGAGCCACGCACTGCCAAGGGTGCACGATTGATGATAAATTACATATTTATATGAAAACACATTTTTACCACTTGGTGCTTCGGAACCAATTAATTGTTTACGATTAAAAGCTTGGTTTTTTTGCTCTTATGGTAATCTACTAATACTAATAATTTAATGCATATGTACAAAGACCAAGATCCCATTTTTGGTTATTTATATCCTGGCCAATGACCCGTGACAAGAATTTGGCATTTCGTAATGAAGCAAACCTGCTATATATATTATTAATATAGCTTTGTAAAAACATCTTGTATTTATATTCAAAAATTTATATAAGATTCCTTTATTTCAAGATCTCTCTTGTAAAGATAAAACAATTGGGCCAGTTTCGAAGTTAAACCAAGTATCAATTCAGTCCCAGTTTCGAAATTAAAACAAGTGTCAAATCAGTCCCAGTTTTGAATCGGTTTTAAAATTAAAACAAGGGTCAAATTGGACCAGTTTGTACCAAGAAACGAAGGCTTGCTTTTTTTTATTTTTAAAATTCTTAACTACAAAATGAATTATCTGTAAAGGACTTAGTATATAAATTCTAAGCAATAATGCTAGTAGTGGTGTATAACGAAGATGAAAAGTTATAACCTTTACCTAAATAAGTAGGCAGTATAGCAGCAGTAGTGATAGTAGCAATAGTTGCCATAGTGCTTGATGAAAAATGCAACAATGAATTTTTTAGAAGATCAGTCATGCATAATTTTCATATGACAACAAACACAAAGAGACTAAATTTGATTTTGTAAAAGAGTTTCGATTCCATTTATTAAATTCTGAAAAGTGTTTTGTATTCCCAAAATATGTGTTTACAACGTAACAACGCTATTTTTTGCAAATACTTGTAACATTGATGTGCTTGCATATTACTAAATGTAATTTTTGTCAAAATTCAGATGTTTATTAACACAATTTCTAAAAATTTATTGTAAACACAAAAATTTTTGTTACGTTGTAGATAAGGTTCTCAGGATAATAATCATTTTGGATTTTTTCTGTGGCTATTCTGTTTCCAGAGTTATAAAATTTTTGAGAAATTCTATTAAAATTGATATTAGTATATTAATATATACTGTATATATACAAAAGAAAATTAAATTTAATAAAAATTTGATCTGCATGTTTGCGTGACACGAAATCCTTACTATTTGATTTTATTATTTGGAGACTGGACCAACAAAACACGGTTCTGGGCTCCTTGACTCAAAATTGAGCTTTTTGTATCAAATTAATCAGCAATTCAAGGATTATATTTTGGTACAATTTTTGATGTGTAAAAGTATAATACAGAAACGTATAAAATGAGATTGAATCTTTTTATATTTTTAGGGGACCAAATTTAAAAATAAATGATCAGCAAAGAAATTTCTTAAAATGTAAAATTTTAAAATTTATTTTTAAGGTTCCCAATCATCAATTGAGTTTTAATAAACAAATCCATTTCTTTTTTATCTAAAGCTTTTAAATGAATCAAACGCTTAAAAAAGAGCCTAAATCCAATTTTTTCAAAGCAAGGGCAGAAGTTTTTTAACTTTCTAGGCTGAAGACAAGTGCAATTAGCAGAACTAGAAAAAAATTCCTTTATTTCAGCAACTGTATTAAATACTAACTCATTATCTTCATATTCTTCTAAACCATATTCAATTAAATCAAAAAAAATATTGTTATTTTCAGCAGCCATTGTTAATATTATATTAATATTAATTTTTATTTTGAATTTAATTTTTAGTTTTTATTTAGAGATCATTTAAATGTGTACTACATAGATCTAAAAATAGGGGGCTTTTTTGTTTTTGTGATTTTCTCAAAATTAAAAATTAGTTTGAGAACCGTGTTTTGTTGGTCCCGCCCCCATTTGGTTTCCCCTATACAGTCGGCGCTCGATATAGTGAAGTTTTGGCTAGTACAAATTTGGAAACTATCTGCGTTAATATCCAATCAAATTCAATTTTTCAGAAGATAGTTTTCAAATTTGTACTAGCCAAAACTTCACTATATCGAGCGCCGAATGTATTTGTAATTATACTAATATCTAACACCCCAATCGGCAATATAATTTGTGATGTCACGGTGCTTACCGTGTGTAATGAATGTTGTGAAATAGTTTTCCTTTTAATAGAACTTTTCTATATTATTTATTTATTACTGTTTAATTCTGACAATTTTCTTTATCACGCACGTTATTATTATATAAAATGTACACGTGACGTAAAAACCTCAATATTAATAATATTGAACTTTTAATCGATGGTATTATAGAACATTCGGATAGGTTCAAGAGAGACAAAAATATAAAGATTATACCCAAGCACAATAAATTATCAAATTGTTAATTTTAACGAATGATGATGATAGGAAAATCAACGATTAAAGTGAGTAACGAAGGCAGGCATTGCATTAATTAATTAATTCTACTAATTAAATCTTAATTGACTAAATAACTAAATCTTAAATGATTATGTATTATTGATATCAAATGAATAAATAAATACTAATTAAAAATAATGATATTAATAGAGATAATAAGTTTAATAACCTTCAGGAGCAGTTCCAGCAACGCAACTAGAACTAACTTCGTTAACATCACCATTCATTCATATTTTTTCACCATTAATAAACTCAACATTATCGATATCAATGTCATTTTCATCAGATTCATTATCTTCTAATCTTTTACGTAATTTAGACATTTCATCTTCAATATAAGAAAATATTTCATCTTCGATATCACTATTATTATTATTATTATTATTATTATTATTATTACTATTACTATTATTACTACTACTGTTACTATTATTATTTTTATTACTGTTGTTGTTATAGTCATCACTATAGTTCCAAATTGATGATGGGAATATTGGGAATGCTGGTGCTAATTGTGATTGTGATTGTGGTATTTTTGATATTTTTTCATTATTGATAGCTTCTGTCTCTTCTTTGCTATTATTATCATTATTGATGCCATTGCTACTGTTAGCGCTGGAATTATTATAAACGCTGTCACTATTATCATCAGCATCATTATTGCCACTATTGCAATTATTTAAAGATCTACTATTACTAACAAGTCTAATAGGAATTCTAGCAGGAACAGAAATAGGTGTAGTGGGAGTAAAAATATTAGTATTGAACGACCCAAAAATACTATTATTACTATTACGAGTACTAGCATCATTACTACTATTATTATTGTTAGAAGAGTCAAATCGAACAAAAGTATTATTATTTTTATTTTTATTATTATTATTATTGTTATTGTTATTTAATCTACTTGGATTGTTATTATTGTTAATATTATGATCATCAGAACCACCGACAAGTTCATCAAAACTATTATTATAATTATTATTATTATTAGTAGTGTTGTTATTAGTAGTGTTGCTGTTAGAACCATTGTCATTTAATTCATCATCAGTATTGTTATTATTGTCGTTATTGGTAATGTTGGTATTAAATAATCTGTGAGTAATATAATCACCAAATCTGAATGGATTGTTTCTAATACTGTTACTATTATTATTGTTCCTAGTGTCAGTAATATTATTATTAGTTGAAAGACTTTCAAAATTAAAATCGAAATCGCGACCACGATCACCGAATCTGAAAGGTGTTGGTGGTCTATTTCTCACATTATTATAAGTTCTATTGTTATCATTATCGTTATCATTATCATTGCTATGATTATCATTAGTAATAATGCTATTGTTAATTAAAGGTCTTTCGAAATTAAAATCAAATCTGAAGGAGGTTGGAGATCTTGGTCTATTATTAGTGTTACTAGTTGTATCATCATCATTGGATACATTACTAGAAAATCTTTCATGATTAAAATCAAATCTAAAAGGAGTTGGGGATCTACTAACCAATCTTCTTCTTCTTCTTCTTCTTCTTCTTCTGTTACTACTATTGCTACTACTACTATTATTATCATTTGAATCAGAATTACCATTGTCATTGTTATTAGCAAAATCTTCACCAAATCTAAATGGAATTGGGGGTATATTTCTAATATTATTAGATCTTTCATTATCACTAGTGCTAGTGGTATTAGTAGTAGTACGATTATTAAAATTGAATAAATTACTTGAAAGTCTTTCAGGATTAAGATCAAATCTGAATGGTGTTGAATATCTATTATTTTCACTCCTATTAATACCATCACTATCATTACTACTACTACTACTACTACTATTGCTAGAAAAATTTCTGAAAATTCTTCTGGGAGTATTATTATTATTATTTGTAGTAAATCTGAACAATCTTGATAAAGATCTAGTAGTTCGAGTATTATTACTACTATTATTATTACTATTACTACTGTTATTATAAGTTCTATCTGTGTAAGCTTCATTATTGAATATATTGGTTGCATTAAAACCTAAAGCAAGCCTTCGTTTCTTGGTACAAACTGGTCCAATTTGACCCTTGTTTTAATTTTAAAACCGATTCAAAACTGGGACTGATTTGACACTTGTTTTAATTTCGAAACTGGGACTGAATTGATACTTGGTTTAACTTCGAAACTGGCCCAATTGTTTTATCTTTACAAGAGAGATCTTGAAATAAAGGAATCTTATATAAATTTTTGAATATAAATACAAGATGTTTTTACAAAGCTATATTAATAATATATATAGCAGGTTTGCTTCATTACGAAATGCCAAATTCTTGTCACGGGTCATTGGCCAGGATATAAATAACCAAAAATGGGATCTTGGTCTTTGTACATATGCATTAAATTATTAGTATTAGTAGATTACCATAAGAGCAAAAAAACCAAGCTTTTAATCGTAAACAATTAATTGGTTCCGAAGCACCAAGTGGTAAAAATGTGTTTTCATATAAATATGTAATTTATCATCAATCGTGCACCCTTGGCAGTGCGTGGCTCTTTCGTTACTAATTCTTTATTTTTTTTCTATGTATATGTTTTTTATTAGATGATGGTGGAAGGACAGGAAGGATGGAACAAATTGAGAGAGGACGGAAGCTTGCATCTAAGGGTACAGCTCATAATTATAATAATACAACAATAATATAGTTATCGAGTATCCCGATGGAAAAGATTAAATTTATTACAAGATATAATTAAATAAATATTTATTATCTGTTCATAAACTTCTTAATGTTATCATTACCATTATATAAATGATGATATACATGTTTCTTTTCATCAATTATACACATCCATCAAGGGAATTTCCATCTTTTCAGCCATCTATATCTCAAATGGAATTAGACTTTTATTAAATTTATTAAATTCTTCTGGGAGTATTATTATTATTATTTGTAGTAAATCTGAACAATCTTGATAAAGATCTAGTAGTTCGAGTATTATTACTACTATTATTATTACTATTACTACTGTTATTATAAGTTCTATCTGTGTAAGCTTCATTATTGAATATATTGGTTGCATTAAAACCTTTTTATACTCCTTTTTTCAACTCTTCTCTCTCTAAAATAACTTTATATACAGTCGGCGCTCGATATAGTGAAGTTTTGGCTAGTACAAATTTGGAAACTATCTGCGTTAATATCCAATCAAATTCAATTTTTCAGAAGATAGTTTTCAAATTTGTACTAGCCAAAACTTCACTATATCGAGCGCCGAATGTATTTGTAATTATACTAATATCTAACACCCCAATCGGCAATATAATTTGTGATGTCACGGTGCTTACCGTGTGTAATGAATGTTGTGAAATAGTTTTCCTTTTAATAGAACTTTTCTATATTATTTATTTATTACTGTTTAATTCTGACAATTTTCTTTATCACGCACGTTATTATTATATAAAATGTACACGTGACGTAAAAACCTCAATATTAATAATATTGAACTTTTAATCGATGGTATTATAGAACATTCGGATAGGTTCAAGAGAGACAAAAATATAAAGATTATACCCAAGCACAATAAATTATCAAATTGTTAATTTTAACGAATGATGATGATAGGAAAATCAACGATTAAAGTGAGTAACGAAGGCAGGCATTGCATTAATTAATTAATTCTACTAATTAAATCTTAATTGACTAAATAACTAAATCTTAAATGATTATGTATTATTGATATCAAATGAATAAATAAATACTAATTAAAAATAATGATATTAATAGAGATAATAAGTTTAATAACCTTCAGGAGCAGTTCCAGCAACGCAACTAGAACTAACTTCGTTAACATCACCATTCATTCATATTTTTTCACCATTAATAAACTCAACATTATCGATATCAATGTCATTTTCATCAGATTCATTATCTTCTAATCTTTTACGTAATTTAGACATTTCATCTTCAATATAAGAAAATATTTCATCTTCGATATCACTATTATTATTATTATTATTATTATTATTATTATTACTATTACTATTATTACTACTACTGTTACTATTATTATTTTTATTACTGTTGTTGTTATAGTCATCACTATAGTTCCAAATTGATGATGGGAATATTGGGAATGCTGGTGCTAATTGTGATTGTGATTGTGGTATTTTTGATATTTTTTCATTATTGATAGCTTCTGTCTCTTCTTTGCTATTATTATCATTATTGATGCCATTGCTACTGTTAGCGCTGGAATTATTATAAACGCTGTCACTATTATCATCAGCATCATTATTGCCACTATTGCAATTATTTAAAGATCTACTATTACTAACAAGTCTAATAGGAATTCTAGCAGGAACAGAAATAGGTGTAGTGGGAGTAAAAATATTAGTATTGAACGACCCAAAAATACTATTATTACTATTACGAGTACTAGCATCATTACTACTATTATTATTGTTAGAAGAGTCAAATCGAACAAAAGTATTATTATTTTTATTTTTATTATTATTATTATTGTTATTGTTATTTAATCTACTTGGATTGTTATTATTGTTAATATTATGATCATCAGAACCACCGACAAGTTCATCAAAACTATTATTATAATTATTATTATTATTAGTAGTGTTGTTATTAGTAGTGTTGCTGTTAGAACCATTGTCATTTAATTCATCATCAGTATTGTTATTATTGTCGTTATTGGTAATGTTGGTATTAAATAATCTGTGAGTAATATAATCACCAAATCTGAATGGATTGTTTCTAATACTGTTACTATTATTATTGTTCCTAGTGTCAGTAATATTATTATTAGTTGAAAGACTTTCAAAATTAAAATCGAAATCGCGACCACGATCACCGAATCTGAAAGGTGTTGGTGGTCTATTTCTCACATTATTATAAGTTCTATTGTTATCATTATCGTTATCATTATCATTGCTATGATTATCATTAGTAATAATGCTATTGTTAATTAAAGGTCTTTCGAAATTAAAATCAAATCTGAAGGAGGTTGGAGATCTTGGTCTATTATTAGTGTTACTAGTTGTATCATCATCATTGGATACATTACTAGAAAATCTTTCATGATTAAAATCAAATCTAAAAGGAGTTGGGGATCTACTAACCAATCTTCTTCTTCTTCTTCTTCTTCTTCTTCTGTTACTACTATTGCTACTACTACTATTATTATCATTTGAATCAGAATTACCATTGTCATTGTTATTAGCAAAATCTTCACCAAATCTAAATGGAATTGGGGGTATATTTCTAATATTATTAGATCTTTCATTATCACTAGTGCTAGTGGTATTAGTAGTAGTACGATTATTAAAATTGAATAAATTACTTGAAAGTCTTTCAGGATTAAGATCAAATCTGAATGGTGTTGAATATCTATTATTTTCACTCCTATTAATACCATCACTATCATTACTACTACTACTACTACTACTATTGCTAGAAAAATTTCTGAAAATTCTTCTGGGAGTATTATTATTATTATTTGTAGTAAATCTGAACAATCTTGATAAAGATCTAGTAGTTCGAGTATTATTACTACTATTATTATTACTATTACTACTGTTATTATAAGTTCTATCTGTGTAAGCTTCATTATTGAATATATTGGTTGCATTAAAACCTAGAGGCCTGAAATGATGTGAAGAGCCGTTAGTTCCACTTGGAATATTAATACCAGTATTGTTAGTAATATCGTAATTCATTCGCTCTGGACCAATAAAAACAGGACCAAATACAGTATTATTAGTTTCATTAGTGCTAGTGCTGTTATTATTATTACTGGTTGTTGTAGTTGTAGGATCGCCAGTATTGGATGAATTACTGGAAAATCCTTCGTTATTAAAAAAACTGAACGGAATCGGAGGTATACCACCACCATTACTATTACTAGTCACATTAGTGCCAGTACTACTAATACTATTATTATTACTACGATTGGTAATAGAGTTAAATAAATCACTGGAAAATCTATCAGGGTTATAATCAGAAAATCTTAACCTACTACTTGCATTTCTATTAGTATTATTATTATCTTCAGTTCCAATAGTTGTACTATTATCCCTAATTCTAGTTCTAGCATTATTGTTCCCGTTGGTATTGGTATTAGTGTTTCTAATATGATTGTTATAAGTAGAAAATCTACGAAAATTATTATTAGAAGAATCTCTAAATCTGAATGGTTGTGAAAGCCTATTACTTCTTCTATCATTAACTCTTCTATTAATGGTTCTGATTCTTCTGCTAATTCCACTATTAGTAGTAGCAATAGCAGTACCAGGCGTGTTGTTGTTGTTATTATTGCTAATGGTACGAGTACTGTTATTATAATTTCCAAAACTGATTATGGCTCCAAGTCTGTTATCACCACCATCTCCACTGTTGTTATTGCTTTCGGTATTAGTATTAGACTCGGTATTAGTGTCATCATTATTATAAGTAATATTGATAAAATTATTACTATGAGATCTTGATAAAAAACCAAAATCAAATTGTAATTCATTATTATTATTATTATTTTTATTTTTATTATATTATATTATCATTCATTAATAAGGTTGTGTATTGTTTTATATAAATATTTCAATAATAATAATAAAACTTCGAAAATTCAAATTTAATTAATCATATGATTTTGATTTTAATTGGCTGATAAACATAAATTCATGATAATTATCATCATCCTTCCTGACAACAATTACAGAACAAAGAAATAAAAAGCAAACTCTTTTTTACTCATGTTCAAAATCATTTTTTTTATTTAAGCCTTACTACTTTTTATTATAAAGTATTTATATATTCAAATAAAAAACATGGCCTCCTCTTTGCACACAAAACAATTATCTAGAACAAGTGAAATTTTGACATTATTGGAAAAACGTTCATTAGGAACTTTACAACCAAAAAATACAAACCAAATTTATCAAGCTGCTATTAAATTTAATGGTGATTTTGAATTCTCGAGGTTTTTTTTCAATTATATCATTTATCGGATTATTTTATATCATTTCTTTCAGTTACTTCATCATTTTCTCTTGGCCAATTAATGGAATCATAGAGACTTGAAAGGCCATTTCTCTTGTGTCAATTCATTAAGGTAAAAGAGTCCGTTTTGATTTTTTTTTTTTGGAAGATGATTTTCTCTCCAACGATCTAATTATCTATGTCTCTATGTATGCATGTATATTTAATTAATCAATCGATCAATCAATTAATTGTTAATAGTTTTAGTCATGATGGAGGAAATTATCTTATTTCTGGAAGTGATGGTAATTGTCACAAATATATATTTATGTGCTATTAATAAATTTAATTAATTAATTCCGTTATTACCGTTTTTTAATGATTAGATAGAAGAATACTTTTATGGGATACGTATGATGACATCGAATCAATCAAACCAAAGAAATGTTTTAAAGCACATTCTGTAAGCCTTTAATATCAATCATATATCGAAATTACGGTATAATAAAATAATTTTTATTATTCTATTCTTAGAGTAATGTATTCTCGGCAATTTTTGATTCTTCTAATAAACACATTTTATCGTAAGTTATTAATCAATTTCTAAGCAAGACCTTTAAATCAAATTTCTCATTTATAATTTGCCATTAAATTTTGGGAAAAGATGTGGAAATGATAATACAATATTTTACTATGATGTTGAGTATAGTAAATGTATGTACGCGCTATTTCACATCGTTTATTATATCCATTAATAATATATGAACTTTACATCTTTACACTCATATCTAGGTGACAATAGTAACCTGACAGTTGATAAGTTCGTATCACATTTAGATGCTGTACAATCTATAGCGTTTGATCCCTTTAACGATAATATATTTTTATCTGCAAGGTAATTTATAATTCGTTATCAATATTATTATTAATTGCTGAATTTTTATGTAATTAATGTATGTGTATATATATATATATATATACATATATAAATATATATGTTTCTCGTTTAAAATCATAAAGTCAAGATGGTATGTGATCAAATAACTAACTAATTAATCAATCGAGTTTTTTTTACATTATAAATTAAAATGTTATTTGTCTATTTATTTATTTATAAAGGAACTGTTAAATTATGGGACATAAGAAAAGGCAAAAATCATTGTGGAGAAATTGTGGTTTTTGATAGCATGACATTTGTCCAATTCAGCCCTGTAACTGAAAGACAATTTGTTACAAGCAGTAACTCTGGTAAAGTTTTGTAAGTAAAAGAAAGTGGATAAAGTGGGTGGGAAATGATGAATGAGGTGAAGTAAGAGGAGGGAAAATGGTTTATTAAGGAAATAACTTTATTTAACCACTCACACCGGACCTCTCGTATTTATATATATATATATATATAGATTAAGAGATATAAGAACAGCTTTTAGCAAGAAAAGTAGAATCCCATTTTTAGATGATAGCGATGACATACTAGTAAAAGTAGGCACTATTTATTACCAGTCATGTTATAATTAAACCAGATTTCTAATATTTCTCGATCCAATAATTCATAATTTAACATTTCAATTCATATCATACCACACCGTAATATTCCATTTCCATTTAGTATATAACGACATTATCAAAAAATAATAAAACTGCAAGGCCTGATATAAGTTCAGTAACGTTTCATCCTTCAGGTACTATGTTATGCGCGATGATAAGTAGATATCATCCAACTTTATATGACGTAGCTGAAGAAACTCCGTTATGTATATTTTCATCCAATTACAACAAAGAATCTAATACTTGCTATTCCAATAAGGGCACATTTAAGGTAGTTGGTTAATTATGAAAATAAATATTATTTGGATTTTCTTTACATCGTTAATTGTTATATATGTGTGTGCGTGTATGTAGCAAGCACATTTTGGTGGACCAAATGGCGATTATATATTAACTGGAAGGTAAAGATTATCACCAAGAATTAATAACTATTGTTATTATTAGTTAATGATGAATTAATATATAAAGTTTATTTATTTTTTAGTGATGACTTCAGAGTTTATGTGTGGAAAATTCCAGATTTAAATCTTTTAAAAGCAAATAAAGAAATATCACCGACTACAGAAAATGATTCAAAAGATGTTATACGTATGTGTAATACAATACAATACAATTCTATATGATTTATTAATTATCAACTATAATTATTATTCTTATTTATTTTAGAATTTTCTGATAAAGAAGATAGCATAATAAAAATTTATGAAAATTCAAACCCCGAATATGTTCTTGGAGGTATTTTATCATTCATTATAATATAATAATGATTTTATTAGGAAAATCATTTACTTACATTGTTTAATTTTAATTTAGGCCATCGGTCAATAGTAAATACTGTGCTATGGCATCCACACTTACCATACATATTTTCATCAGGTAGAAATTCATTGCATATTAATGTTCATTAATAATGATTTATTTTATTAATGATTAATATCTATAATATTTAATTGATTAAAAATTAGGCGTAGAAAAACTTATTAAAATTTATTCAGCTTTTCCATTTTCTGATAATGACAATGAACCGAAAGAAGCTTTTAAGCAAAGAGAAAAATACCCACCATCATCATTATATCATATATTCGGTTTATCTAACTCTGATTTGAGTGATAGCATTGAAGAAGACGTGGACACATTAAGATTTTTCGATAATATAGTACGTAAACATTTATTGTTATTGAAATGGAGTTTTCCAAAAAAAAAAAAAAATTATATTATTTAATAATTTTATAAACTCTTTATAATCATTGCACCATTGTGATTGTTAGCTTAGAATTGAACAAAATAATGATCCATACTGGGGCCCAAATTCTAATAATAATAATAGCAGCACTAGTAGCAATAGTACCACTAATCCATTTATTAATCAATTGCCATGGGATTGGCACAATCGTAATTTTCACAATCATTTCACTTTTCCAACATTCGAAGATTTTAATAGATTAATAAGTTCTAACACGAACAGCACTATTTTTGGTGAAGATGATGATTATCGCTCATTTATTCTTGATGAAGATGAAGATGATTACATTTCAAACTTATATGAAGAAGAAGAAGCTGATGATGATGATGATGAAGGAGATGATTATGCTTTAAGTTTTGAAAGATTTTTTGCAGTTACAAGAGAAATAGTTGGAGGCCAAATGAGAAGAGATAGCAGCTTCACTATGGATTTGTAAATGCCATTAGTTTTATTTATTGTTGTTGTTATTATTGTTATTGTTATTGCTATATTTATTTTAACTTTATTATTTTGATTATTAGCAATTTCCGAAATCCATCAGAAGAACGAGAATCAAGAAATAGCACAACCAACAATAGCAATAACAATGGCAATAGAAACAACAATAGAAATAATAATAACAATGGCAATAGAAACAGCAATAGAAATAATAATAATAATAATAATAATAATAATAATATAATTATTATTTTGTAAGAATATATATGGTTTTATTTTACCTCTCTTGCAAAACCACTAAAATTACGATTAACACTACCAAGTAATCCACCACTTTCATCTTCCAAATTAAAATCCCACGCCCAAAATCCTGCATCAATTCTTGCAAATTGTCTTTTACTATCAAATTAATAATAAAAGATTGGAATGAATAATTAAATTTAAATCAATAAACCACAAAAAACTACTTACTTTACAAATAAATTATATATTCTTCTCCATAAATGCCATTGTTGTTGCACTTCACCAATCAATTCATTATCTTGTCCTTCATAAATAAATATATGAGAATTAATCCAAGCAAAAGGTCGATGAACCTTTAACACTATTTCAGCCTGTTCATTCAATATTAGTGCACTAAATCTCCTATGTGTTCGAAATACTTGTCTCAAAATTGTTGAAATGAATGATGATTCCTCCTCTGCTATAAATCCTACACTGTTACCAAATGGATCTAGTATTACATATTTATTTGCTTGTTCAAATCCCTTTTTTATCACATAATAATTTATATTTTTATCAGAATTTGCTAATTAATTAACCAACCAATTATTTTATTTCTAAAGTTTTTGTTTTCAATTATTTTACATATTATACATACCATAAAAACATTTAACATTTCTATTTGTCTACCAACAACTAAAGCAGACTTTGCCAAAATTTTTGATGCAGGTTTTTCATCAGTTAATACATTGGACACATTTGATGGTAAATTAACATCAATAGAAGCTGCTTTTGATGGAAGGTTTTCTCCGCCATCATCATTATAGTTTTTATAATCTTGCCTTTTAGTTTTAAAGATGTCTATTGGTCTATTTTGTTGTATTCTGCTTGTACCAACAACACCTACTATACAAGATATAATATTTTTTAAAGGTATAATTTGATAACTTGGAGAAAAAAGAAAGATAAACCTACAATTTTCTCCAAAAAATTTTATAATACTAACCTACCTCTTGGAGTTCTTTTTAATGTTGAATAATAATAATTTTGTATATGTGTTTTTGAAATATAATATGCAATTGAATGTTGCTGATTATGATTATAATTAATTAAAGAATTTATTGATTTTTTTGAACAGAATTGTAAAGTTCTAATTGATTTGAATAACATTTTTTCTGAGAATTATAGTAATATGGGACATCAAAAACCAACATTATATCACCTAAAGATTTCAGGGATCAATTTAGTATAATTGCGATAACATTTTTTTAATTTTTATTTAATAATTATATCCCAACTAAATAAGTCAATTCAGGGCGGGGTTTTGGAATTGGACCTTGTTATAAATTATTTTTGTACCCATGCCAAAGCAAATTAATTCGTTATTATTATTTATTATTATGGAATGTATAGCAGTATCACCTTTGTATTAATTGGCTTTTAATTATATAGTAATAGCTGTAATAGCTAAAATACAACAAAAAAATGTTTGATTAATACAAGGAAGGAAGGAATGGGATAGTTTGTATTTATAAGATAAAGTATATTTGCAAGAATCCTCGCTAAAAAAATTTTCATCAAGAAGTTTATGTAAGCTTATTTTTGCTCGTATTGAATATAAAGTTTTTAGTTTCTCTTTAGTTTTTTTTGAAGCTGGTAAGTTTTCAGTAGATCTTTTTAATGAAGACACGTTTAAGGATAGGTAATAGTTGATGATGATAAATTTTTACTTCTTTATACAAAGAATTTAATAATGATAATTTTAATGATTGCTAAAAATACGTTATAATCGCTATAATCACAATGACAATGAAGATAACAATGATAATAATAACAACAAAGTTAATAGTAACAAAGATATAGCAATAAAGATAACAACAATGAACAAGGAAGGCAAAAACAACAACGCAAGCTTGAACTTTTAACAATAAAAAAATATCAGTTGGTACCATTTCAGGAATTTCACATTTGTGTGGGCGATTGCTGAGCGAGAAGGAATTATAAAAGCTCATGAAATACCTAGTTATATATATGTAATTTTTGATATTAACGAACAACAATATTAATAATGAATGAAATTTACGAGAACGCAACGTGAGCTTTTGCTTTTTTACGTATTACACTATCATGCATGCCATGCTACGGGAGATTAAAATTTTATTTATTTTAGTATCGCGTTGACATTAAAGTTAAGTTGGTTTGTATTGCGTATTCGTCGCAAAGAGCAAAAAAATCACATCACTTTGGTCAAGGCAATAATAAATAGGAAGGCCCGAATTTTTTCTCTAAATTTTCATAGATATTCTTTGGAGCATCAAAGTTAGCACTGGATGTGAAGAATCCTAGTGTCCATGATAAATGATGCTGTTTTTAATAAAATAGACTATTTCGTGGCCAAATGATTCATTGATCGAGTAGTCTAATAAATTACTACATAAACATATAAATAGACCCGCTACCCCACTTGTAGACCAAAAATTGTGCATCATACTTGCTTTTCACGTTGCATTCGAACTCGGGGGTTAAAGTACATGGTGCCAAAATGGCATTCTATGGTTTGGTTTTACACGTTGCATTCAAATGTGAGGGTTAAGGAATACTCCACATTATTATCCATTTGTTGAGAAAAAATTTGTTTGTTTGTTTTTTATTTATTTTAATGATTAAAGAGTCATTACGCGAACAAAGAATTTAATAAATTTAATAAAAGTCTAATTCCATTTGAGATATAGATGGCTGAAAAGATGGAAATTCCCTTGATGGATGTGTATAATTGATGAAAAGAAACATGTATATCATCATTTATATAATGGTAATGATAACATTAAGAAGTTTATGAACAGATAATAAATATTTATTTAATTATATCTTGTAATAAATTTAATCTTTTCCATCGGGATACTCGATAACTATATTATTGTTGTATTATTATAATTATGAGCTGTACCCTTAGATGCAAGCTTCCGTCCTCTCTCAATTTGTTCCATCCTTCCTGTCCTTCCACCATCATCTAATAAAAAACATATACATAGAAAAAAAATAAAGAATTAGTAACGAAAGAGCCACGCACTGCCAAGGGTGCACGATTGATGATAAATTACATATTTATATGAAAACACATTTTTACCACTTGGTGCTTCGGAACCAATTAATTGTTTACGATTAAAAGCTTGGTTTTTTTGCTCTTATGGTAATCTACTAATACTAATAATTTAATGCATATGTACAAAGACCAAGATCCCATTTTTGGTTATTTATATCCTGGCCAATGACCCGTGACAAGAATTTGGCATTTCGTAATGAAGCAAACCTGCTATATATATTATTAATATAGCTTTGTAAAAACATCTTGTATTTATATTCAAAAATTTATATAAGATTCCTTTATTTCAAGATCTCTCTTGTAAAGATAAAACAATTGGGCCAGTTTCGAAGTTAAACCAAGTATCAATTCAGTCCCAGTTTCGAAATTAAAACAAGTGTCAAATCAGTCCCAGTTTTGAATCGGTTTTAAAATTAAAACAAGGGTCAAATTGGACCAGTTTGTACCAAGAAACGAAGGCTTGCTTTTTTTTATTTTTAAAATTCTTAACTACAAAATGAATTATCTGTAAAGGACTTAGTATATAAATTCTAAGCAATAATGCTAGTAGTGGTGTATAACGAAGATGAAAAGTTATAACCTTTACCTAAATAAGTAGGCAGTATAGCAGCAGTAGTGATAGTAGCAATAGTTGCCATAGTGCTTGATGAAAAATGCAACAATGAATTTTTTAGAAGATCAGTCATGCATAATTTTCATATGACAACAAACACAAAGAGACTAAATTTGATTTTGTAAAAGAGTTTCGATTCCATTTATTAAATTCTGAAAAGTGTTTTGTATTCCCAAAATATGTGTTTACAACGTAACAACGCTATTTTTTGCAAATACTTGTAAC